ACTAATAACCTGCAACTGTAAAAAAGGATTAAAATTAAAATTGAATCCAGAAACGTTTACTTTGGATTTAGAAAAAAAAATATCCGCCCAAAAAACACATGAACTTCTTTTCCATTGTAAACGAACAAGTTCCATTTTAAATGAAAAAAAAATAATGGCATTTGAAGGATTCTTTCGATTTTTGTATTGTTTGCACAATGAAATTTCTGTTTAGAGTTTGTTAGGCGGCTCCCAGCTGACTTTGTTTAGCGGTATATCAACCTCTATGGGTTATTTAATGCCGAAATCTAAATATTTTTAAGTAATTTTATACTTTCAATTACCGATAAGTCGAGCAAAATTTTATACTTTCAGGTTAAACATGTTTTTTAGATTTATCATTTGTAGATCATAAAATATATTGTTGATCATTTTAAAAAATTTATTGCTGATAATTTCCCTACAAAAAATGTATTGCTGTTAATTTTATTATAAAAATGTACTTTTATACTTTTTAGTGTTGTATTGTCATTTTACTATAAAGATGTACTGTTGATTTTTGTTTGGAGGCTCACTTGTCCATCACTGGGACCCTAACAGATACCCTATTTGCAAGCCGCTAGTGGCCGCCAATAGCAACGCTAGCGGCCCTCTGGTCGCAGCAACCGATTGGTCTCTAGCGGTCCGCCAGTGCTAACATTGCCGAGACGACCACGCCGGTGGTTTGACCGCAGGCCAGCAGCGGAAAACGGTAGTGCCATGCCGCCCAGTTTCAGATTGTTGGCTTACGTGTAGGGTTGTATCACGCCGAGTTAGAGTGAAGCTCGGAACAACAGCAGCTAAGAGATGGTTCTCCGCTCCTCAAAGCCCCCAGTCTCCTCATCAGAGGCCTGGGATGTAGTTTATTGTCATGTTAGTAGTTTAATCATCATATAAGGTCCTTTTCTGGTATTCCTTCTTTCTTCTTTCTATGTGCCGAGTCCTTTCAGGACGTAGGCGATCATGACTCTCCCCCCCCTCTATCCCTTTCAGCTCTCAACAAGTTCCTTCCCTCTGCCACCTCCCCCAAGACCACGTTCTGTCATCCACTTGTTTAAGGATTCTAGGGATGTCATGCATTGTTATCTCTTGTCGATATTTCACTCTATTCGACCCGTGAGTATCAGATTCTCCAGGCCTTCCTTCCTCATTATGCATTCCAAAAACTCCAGCTGCCTCTTCCTGATATTAAGTATAAGCCTCCTTCTTGCATCCTCTCTAAGACCTCGTCGTTGCTCACACGCTTGGTCCATGATATTCTCAGCATCCGTCTGTAGAAACACATCTCTATCGCCTCGAGTCTCTTCTTCATCTTTGAGGAAATCGTCTTCCTCTTATTTCTGTAGAACCAATTGAGCAAAACAAGAACTCTGCAGAAAGATTTCAATCGACACACAGATTACAATACAGACACAGTAAACAGCAGAGAGTTAGCTTTCATCTGAGAAGAAATTGAAATGTGTTTATATTTCTGACACCAAAATTTAATCTAAACTAATATGTAGATATTTCCCCGTACGCACGTCTCGGCCAAACGGAATGTTTAAGGAATATCGTTTTTTTGCTTGGTCAAGCACAAAATCTAAAGTAATATCACAGGCTATTAGAAGTTAACCACGTCACTCATTCGAAGTTATCTGATTTCATCAAAAGTAGATGTTATCCAAAACAGATGTCATTAAACGCAGGCCAATGTGACCAGATATCATCAATAGCATGTCAGCAAAACGCTACAAAGAATAAGCATAATTAATCTAAAACCTATGACTAAATCTATCTATCTATCTATCTATCTACACACAGACACACACACATATATATATATATATATATATATATATATATATATATATATATTTATATAAATATAGCTATCTATATACAGTGTAACCCGGATATAAGAGAGTTGTCGGGACCGGAGAAGAAGTCTCTTATATCCGGGTTTCTCTTATATCCGGGTTTGGTCTATTTTATATACATTAACACAGGCTCTAATTTGGGACCAGAGAAAATCTCTCTTATATCCGGGTTTCTCTTATATCCGGGTTACACTGTATATATATTTCTCTCTCTCTCTCTCTCTCTCTATATATATATATATATATATATATATTTTATCTATCTGTTTATCAATCTCTATCTATCTACACAGACACACATATTTATCTATCTATATATATTTATCTCTATCTATCTATCTATCTATCTATCTATCTATCTATCTATCTATATATATATATATATATCTGTTTATCTCTCCGTTTATCTATCTATATTTATTTTTCTACCTATAATATCTATCTATCTATCTATCTATCTATCTATCTATCTATCTATCTATCTATCTATCTATACACGATGGCTGTGTCATAAAAGACAGTTATTACAAAAGTAGAAATATAGAAAGAGGTGCTAAATCATTAAAATGCATTGAAACTTAAACAAAACTGATACAAAAGAATAAAAATCAAAATCAGAAATGAGAGAATCTGAAGAAACGCAAAATAAAATATCGTTCAAGGCAATTAAACAAAGCTGGACGTCAGCGATCATGACTCTTCACAACTTCTCCTCCCTTGTAGCTCTAATGAATTATCTGCCCATTGTTTAAATTTTTACTGCCAGTCCCTGTCCCACAATCCATTTAGGCTTACAGCCACACCATGTTGAAACACCGGTTCCCGTACGATCACCGAAGTTAAGCAACGTCGAGCCTGGTCAGTAATTAGATGGGTGACCGCTTGGGAATACCAGGTGCTGTAAACTTGGATATACGCTTGGTGTAATGGATAATGGCTCAGAATTGATAATCGGAGAGCACAGTTCCAATTCCCGTTGGGTTCGTTATATTCACATACGCGCAAATATCTTTGTGAAAGGTATGAATCCACCTTTCCCCCTGCTATGGGTTAAATAGTAAGACTTGTATCAAAATCATTATTACACCACTAAACCAGTATTATGATTTATATGCTGCAGAAAACGAAACAGTCAGAGAAATGAATACCGTATTTATATACCTATGTATATTTCAATAACATTATGCAGAGTATATATATATATATATATATATATATATAAAAGCCCAAACACTAATATTCCATGGTTATAATTTATTACATTGGAATCGTAATCATGATCCAATTTATCAGACCTACAAATTCAAAAAAGCATTTTTTGAATTTGTAGGTCTAATGAATATTATTGTTTGAGCCTTTTATATTATATTCTTGCTCTGTCCTGGACATTGAGCTGTACCTAGATTCTATCCTCTTGGAAATTTATATATATATATATATATTGACCACTAATATTATCTATCTATATATATATATATATATATATATATATAATCCGTAGAAAACGAAAACAATCATTCAACACACTATTTACATAAACTTGTTAGGTATATCATTTGTTGTTTCTTTGCGTCCCTCTTCCCTTTGGTATGTCGTGTGAGTGTCAAAATCTCCAAACTCGCTTTCCATATGCCTAGGTCACAACTTGTGAGTTAGACATTGTTTGTCCAAATTAAAATGAATAAATAAGTATTTCAGAAGTAGTTCAACTACAAAAATAAACTGAAATTTAAAGAACAGGCATTTAGAGTCCAGCTTAGAGTCCAATAGAATCTCTCAACGCACTTGAGCTGCCCACTGTTCCTACTCAGAAACTTCAATTATAACTTGGAATGCCTATCATACTTCTCAAAATTACGTACCTCCAAAGTTATAAAATGAAACTGTCAATCATCTTCCCCCGGAATGACATCGATTTGTCTATCGTAAATGAGGACGGCAAAAAAGAGAAGGCATTTATTCCCAGGATCTACGTATATCGAACAAACTTGCACTTCGAACTCAATCAATTCAATTCTCACTCGCGCTTAGTTCGCCATAATGATAAAAAAAAGCACCAGACCAGTCTTTCAAAATTGTTGGCTTCAACATGATTTCTCCACTTCTATGCTGGCTGTACTAGGGTTGGATAACAAAGCAGTCTTTTTACACAGTGGGTAAAAGCTACAATCTTCTGTTCTGACAAGCACAAACAACCTATCATTTGCCTTGTATTGAGTATCAGAATTCTTTCTTCGTGTATAAATTATGTAAAAAAAACTTTTTTCTGTTTGTTTTGTTTATAGTTATTTTCTCCTAGAAATATTCTCATATACCTACTTGTACCCTCTTTCTCTCTTTCTTGTCCAAGACTCGCCACTGATGCTATGGCTGCAGTACATATAGTGCTCCAATAACTCTAATGTGTTATTGGACATGGCGATAGGCAGTTATATCGTCTGAGCATTTAACGAAATCTATCAAGTTAAAGAAAGATATACTAACAAATCTATATTGGATTTCTGTAGATCATATAATTTTAGGCTACCAGGTCTCACCTACCCGGCATTTATTAAAATTATGTAGTATATTTTATGTTTTCTGATTTTCTGATTTCAATTTTTTTTTATCCTAAAGGTAAAAATGAAATGAATATATTTGTTAATTTCTGTAAATAATTTCAGTTCTTTACAATTATATTATTTTCGCCAAAACCTTTAAAACATTGTGATTAACAACACATTGGATCTAAACAGTATTTATTGAATTCTCATAAACCTTTTAATTTTAAGAAATGCTAATGAAATTATGTGCGCAAAAGTTAGAAAACTGTTTCGTTCGCATTTCCGATATTGTCGTTATTTGTTGTCTGCCGAGTTGGTCATAATGTTGCAATGAAACGAGGTGTTTTTAAGATAATTAACGTATAAAAATTTTATTTTTATTTGTAAAAAAAATGTTAAAGTTCTATGTATGATCGTCTAAGTTGTTTTCTTATATACATTTTGAGAAAAATGTATTCTTCTGAAGGCTAGACGGTTTGTGTGTCAAAATTTTGTTCAAATATTTGTGATAAAATTTGTGCAGATTAGGCTTTTAGGCTCAAGAGGTGATACCGCCCAAATTGTTTGACGTGTTTCGGATTCATTTTTTTGAATACTTAGCCAATAAGAAACAAATTTTTCTGTCCCTTATGAAGTTTTGGCTGGAGCCGATGTGGTGGTCACTTTTTCTATAAAAAGGACAGCTATCTGCGGATGAAAGAAAAAAACAGACAGAAGAAAAAGAATGTGCCATTGACGAGAACGGATAGAGCATTAGCACCCGCACTTCAAAGGACGGTCCAACTGGAGGTCATAAATCAGAGCTGACAGATTCGAGGCAGGTCTCTATCCCAAAACTTAAATTCCTTATGAGCCTCCTGGAGAATTCTTCACACTGAAGGTACAAGTGAAGTTTGCAATATTCTAAGAGCCCTTCGTCCTATTTGTGTATACTGTTAAGAATGAAGTTTGGTGCTATCTGGAAAATTTCTGTCTTGTGCCATTTTGTTATTCCTTTCTCTAAGTTTTTCCTGTTTTTCTATTTTTGAAGGGATTAATTTTTTTTGTATATGACTCCGTTTCTTATTAAACTAATTGCGATATATTTTTTCTTGTTTCCGTGGTGTTGTGGTGTCCTCGCTCTTCGAGTCTATGCTAGACTCTTCCGCTTACTATAAGCTTAGTAGGGGAGAAGGAACAGTGAACAGATCGAGTACTACTTCATTCGATACACTCTTTCTAGTCGTGTAATACTCTTCTTGTGTACTTAACCATTTACTTAGTCACAACACGTGGGTAATCCCTTTTTTGTTTCCTCAAAAATTGTTATCCTTCCTTTGAGGCGCACAGGGGGAGATTTTTGTGTGACACCTGTATTGTACCTTTTTTTTTTGTAATTATGTAAACTGTAAATAAATGCGTTTTTCCTTTTGAAATTTTACGCATTGGTTGTCTTGATTTAAGATTTTACGCCTCTTGTGACTTACTGTTTTTACCAATTGAGTTTTGTGTCTGGTACAAGGACTAGTAGGAAAGTATTTTTTTTATAAAAGTCCTATGAGGATTTATTATTGGTTGGGAAAAAATTAACGCCATAAGATACGAAGATAACACTGAAGGAACTCCTGCACAAAGGAAATGGAAAGAGGGAAGAAAGGAGTAGCTATTAAATGTAAGAAGACAGAATGTTATAGTTGTTAGCAAGGAGATACGAGCTGCCATTTTGGAGAAAATCAAAAGCAAGTACAGAAATTCAACTATTTGGGATGTGATTTAATAGATAATGGAAAATATAACATAGGAATCAGGAGAGGTATTGAAATAGCGAAAGATGCCTTCTAAAAGTGAAGTAAAATATTAAGAAACAGGAACAATTTCGTAACAGACAAGGAAAAAAGTGTTCAAACTGCTATGCAATATTAATCCTACTATACAGCAGTGAATATTGGATAATTTTCTCACAGATGAAAAGAAACACAACGTAGCGGAGATGTGATTCTATATTTGGCTGCTGAGATTACCATGGGCAGAACATGGTAGTTTTAAGGAAAATGGAAACAAAAAAAGGAAACTTGTATTTAGAATCAGAAAGGTGCAGCTGGAATTTCTGCGGCCAATAATGGGGAATGTGGGGGTGCTTCAATGTGGCGTAATGATTAGTCAAGCTTGTTAGATCAATTACGACTGTAATGAGTTCGATTCTCACTTTGACATCCAAACTTTCTGACATCATCTAAGCCACATCTAAGCTTTGCGCATAACAATTAGCAAGCTTGTCTCGCTAGAACAATTACGATGGAGTAGCCAGTTCGATCCTCACTCGGTGCCCCATGCTTTTGGTCTTGTGTCACAAGTAAGCTATGCTTAGTAAATGACCATAATGGCGAAAACGATTTGTGAGAAATTTGACACTCAAGGCATACTAAAAGCAAGATGAACACATGGAAAGCCTAACACGTTTATATAAATAGATACCAGGATGGCGACTGTGTAGGATAGTGATGTAGAGAAGTTTTCACGGTGGAGGCTTGTATTTCAATAAGTCGTCCTAAATTAGGTTCGACGTACAAAACGCTAGGACGCAGCAATCTAGTTGTGATGGTTGGTACTTCAATGTTCGATATCATCTGACTCGCTCAACACCACTGAGCCGAACTGGCGACTGCTACTACTACTTATTATCTGTGAGAGAGTACATTACAATAGAATAGGTATTATAACAGATAGTAAAACTTAAAAAATGGGCTTAGATTATACAGACCAGCGTTTCCCAAGCTTTTCTCAACCAGCGCCCCCTTTGGGTACAAAATTTTTGTCAGCCCCCTATCAAATTAAATTTTGAATATTGTACTGAATTCATCTTTCATAGCAAGATAACACTTAGGTATTAGTGCATAAATAAAGTTAATACTGTTTTCATTTCTATTATCAATGATTAAGATCCTAAAAAAAAAATATTTGATAGCTTATCTCAATGTTATCAATGCGATGGTTGACTTTGGGGCTTATTGGCTAAGGCTCTTACTCTAGTTTCCATACTTCTTGGAAGTAATCGTAAATCACCTTGCTTTGTAATCTGCAGGCGGTTTCTTTGTTTAGTAAGAAGTTCTGTAACTACGTTGAAACCACATGCAGCCATATAGGAAGTTGAAAAAGCAATGAAGAAACGTTTGATAGCTTTCCACAGAACTTTCACAAATTTCCTTTTGTAGCCAATATTGAATAATTTTTAAAAATCTGAAAAAATGGATACATGCTCACTACCACCTGAATATGTTCACCAACCCCAAAATGAAATTAAAAAAAAATGCTCTCAGTGACCCCTTTCAACATAAAAGACCACAAAGGGGCATTATCGCCCATTTTTAGGTAACACTGATTTAGACCTACAAAAATAAGATGTTGTGAAGAGCCATGATCGCCAATGTCCTGAAGGGACACGGTACATAAAATAAAAAGATAAGTTTTATTTAATTGCTCCTAGTCGCGTTACATTTTATATTCTTTCTCCTTAGAGGCTTTGTTTTATATTCTTATTATTTCGTATCAGTTTTGTTTTAGTTTAACTTTTATTAACGATTTCATTGCTCTTTCGCTATTGCTGCTTTTGCAACAAATGTCTTTTATGTCATAGTCATCGGAGTCTCGTTTTCTTTCATGTCATTACTGCTACTGTGATCGAACATTTTCATTTCCGTCATTGACTAGTCGTTTCTGTTTTTGCATTAGTCTCTTTAAAAATCCTTTTAACTTGAACGTTTCTCTTTTGAGAATTCTTTCATCAATGGAAGGCAGAGATAAACGCACAGGGTTTTATTACGTGCGAAACAAACATAGTGAGACTAATGATAGCAGCGTAGTGACAGTGTTTCCGTTCAGCTGGTAATGCGTTACAAGAAATCGTTTCGTTTCATTGTTCTCATTTCCAGTTTTGTAGTTAATTATTTTTTTTTCATATAAAAAGACGATTTGCGTATCAATGAAACAAAAATACAAACAAAGAAGCAATTAAACGCATGTATTTATCTGTATATAAAACACATATACATGCAGAGAGAGAGAGAGAGAGAGAGAGGGAGAGAGAGGGAGGGAGGAGGGGTGTTATTTGCGACAACAAATGCATGTAGGCTTTAGATTACATTTGATTTTTAAACAGACAGGGTGGTTGAAATAAAAAAAGGTGTCAGGATTTTAAAATAAATGTTGCAGAATTTTCTGCAAGGAAACGCTTTGTCCTAAAATGCCAGCATTCTAAATTACGAAATAGGATGACATTTTTCATGAATATTAAAAGAAAAAGGGGCTGTCGAAATAAGAATTTTCCCGGCTAGTTTTTCTCTAAAAATGAAAATCGTCCCGGCGCATCTATTTGAAAATGCAAAAAGAAGTGTAACACTTCACATATATTTTTTTTAATTTGAATTTCTAAGCACCGAAATGTATTGATTCACATTTTACGTCTCTCTTTTTCACTTTAAATGATTAATCAATCTATTCTCTTATCAGGGGACACTTCAGTATAAGATTAAGAGTTTAATTTTATACTATTTTTCTTTTTTTCCAGAAAGCCATTTCGCCTAATCTTTTTGTAAGCATTATAAAGAAAAATAGGAACACATTCGTTGCTATCTATGTATGATAAGATTATGAACAAATAGGAAACATTTATCAACATAATACTTATGTTTTTCAATGAAAATCAAACAAAAAGTAAAAAAAGAAAAAAAATACCGGAATTTCTTTTTTCTTTTTCTCCATATCCCATTCTCTGACTAAACTTTAATAAAAGTAAAACTTGTTAGATTGATAAACATTTCCTATTTGTTCTTTATCCATATTTGATTTGTATTTGAACCCTATCTGTCTGTCTGTCTGTCTGTCTGTCTATCTATCTATCTATCTATCTATCTATCTATCAGAGGTACAAAATATTTATGGAATTTGAAAAGTTAGACAGAGTTTTGGAAATCATACCTCCAGGAAATAAAACAAAATTTCATTTAAAAATTTTTCTTTATGATGAAGCTTATTTCATCTTTAACGTTTGTACAAATTTTAGGTAGCCAAACGTGTGTATATATATATATATATATATATATATATATATATATATATATATATATATATAGTTTAAAAAATTGAACATGCAACTAGAGTTTTAAGAATATTTATTTAGAGTAATTTTACCGGTTTTTACATTTTTATGATTTTCAAAATAGAGATGGAGAGATGTGTAGCTATGTCATGATATGTCTCGATTCAGATGCGAGATATATCATGACATAGCTATACGTATTCGCTCTAGCAAGGCAAGAATCCTCGAACTTCAGTTAGATGCGAGACATATCATGACATAGCCACGCATCTCTTCATCTAAAGTTAAGTTTTTAAAATCATAGAACTGTGAAACCAGCATTGTTACCGTAAATAAATATTCTTTTAATTTTTTCTTATATTTTCGCCCATACAGGCTATATAAAAACCTTACTTTCTTCTCTCTCTCTATGTATGTATGTATGTATGTATGTATATATATATATATATAATAATCGACTCTCCCGTCGAGATTCGACGTATGAGGGTCAAGCAGATCAGTTTCCAGGAAACCGACAGCCCGACACCGGCACATGGGATTTGATTATAGTGGTGAAGGCCTCGTGCAGGACCATCCACACTTTTTGAAGGGACGAATACAGAGACCTGGTGCACCGAATGCCACAAGGTTCCCAAACGACCCTCCGCAGGTTTTGAATTCAGAGTTGTCCTTCTCCTAGACCAGTTGCCATCCAAGGCTATAGAACCCAGTCTGTCCTGCTAATTTACCCATAGCTGGAGGGAGAGTAAGAGGATTCATACTCAAGGGTATTAGCACGTGTGAATGTAATGGATTCGACTAGAATTCGAACTCGGCTCTGCGATTCCTCAATCCAAGCCGCTATCCATTACTCCACCGTGTCTCCTCCATGAAAGGGATATATTTGAACGAAGTAGCTAAATGGTTTTGTTTACTATAACCAAGTAGAATATGGTAGCAGTAATCAACTGGTACGCGTCGTAGTCGCAGGTAAGAAGTGTAGATCAATGGCGTAGTCCAATGGACGTAGTTATAGACTTAGCTCTCAGACTAAGGATCTTGACTCTCCTACATGTCCATCGGTATTTATGACGGACACCAGCCAATCATATTCCAGTGAGGGGGAACACAGGTGTATGCATATTTCATTATATCAATATATGTGTGTGTGTAAATTATGCACTCTACATTAGCTGTTTGACAAACTGAATATATAATGTGTGTGTGTGTGTGTGTGTGTATAGAAATCGGTCGGTAAAGTCGGACGGTGAGGAGACTTCAAATTTTCGTCTACATTGCTTACATCAATGGTGCACTAATGCGCTTAGAAAACTCATAACTGATCCCTTCTTCCTCGAGTTATGGATAAACTAGTAGAGCAGATTGTGAAACCAGTCAAGAGAAAGAAATAAAAAAAAAACATTATGAAGTGGGATATGTTCTGTCAGGATATCTTACCTTAGGCACCCCTATTGCCGCTGACGCGACTGCAATCCATGAGTTAACACAACGACCCTACGAGATACCTCTACGCACATGCGCACACATATCTTATAATCTATGCAAATATTAAATGACAAATCTTTTGCATACATTTTAGAAAGTTTTCAGCTCTTAGTTAATTGCAAAATAACTGTGAGTTTTGAAATTTACACACGAGTGGGTCCAAATCAATCTTGCGTAGCTAAAAATCAAATAAAAATTTTAACACGTAAAAAGATTTAAGAAAAACAACGTTAAAATTTTGGGCTATACTATGTTTGCTTGATTTTTACGCAATAATTATTACTAAAATTGTCTAAATGCTTAGATTTTTTATGCTTCCGTCTAATAAATAGAATAGAACTAACTTAATAGAGCTCCTGCGGAGAGCTCTTGATTGGACCATCATCAAAGTAGGTAGACAGGAGGAGTGCCATAAGTAACAATAAACTACAGAAGAACTCAAAATTGATCGCTGCATTTAAGTATTGCATTAAGATTACCTTTTAGAAGTTCGACGATAATTCTTCTGCGGCCACTTAATTTAAAGAAAGTTTGATGTACATATGTCCATACTTTCCGTACAAACAATTATTTTTATTTCATGAGTGACTTTCGCTGAATTTCGTAATTAATTTCGGTTATTCTCAAATTAATTTCCAAGTTATAAAAATGGCTATTGTAAAAAAAAAAAAAATTCGTAAAAATCACGTAAAAAAATAACCGAAAACGATCGCTGTGTTGAGAACTTGGGAATCAAAAATTTCAAGATTTGTGGGTCCGGATCTGGCCTGGAATGTTTTTAATTTGCTCACGGAATCGGCCTGATTTTAAAATGGCATGATATGTTGGGCTACGACCTCTAGGAGTAAAGTTGAAAAAGTGTGACAGTGAAAAACTGACAGTCTCATTTATTATATAGAAGACACTTCAATGTAACTAAACGCGTAGAATTACTTACTACAGTAAAATTAACATATTTAGCAACAACTAGCAGTAGAGCCCGGCGTTGCACGGGGATGTAATAGTAAGAGATAGATCAAGTATCGAGCATCATAAAGACTGAAAAATAAAATTAACAAAGATTATTGTTTAAGGTTGACAGACACGCATGTCTTAATTATTATTTTTTTTTACGAATTGGTCAAACCCAAACTCAAACAAAAACATTGTTTTCAATCGTTATGAGTCTACCGATTGAATAGAATTTTATTATAAACAATTGTCTTGTAAATGGAATTTTTAAAGCATTCTGAATGTAAAAATAAAGAAAAAAGTATGCAAGACAATAAGAAACACTACCTGCCAAAAAAAAGGGAGGTTTTGGTTGAAAAATGTAGGAAATTCGATCCCATATAAACACACACACACACACACACACACACACACACACACACACACACACACACACACACACACACAACCAGGGTTTTATAATAAGTATAACTCGATATGAGTTGTCCCCCTTTCATTTTCGCAATGCCGCTTAATCGTGTTTTCAAATTGATTTCGTGCAAAAACAATTGTGTTTTTCCAATTTTTGGCGCTGTCCGAACCACCGCATGGTAATTTTACGTAGTACTGTAAAGTTTTGTTGAAATCGGTTGAAAAATGTAGGAAATCCGATCCAATATATAAACGTACAGACACATACGCACACACACACAATCTGCGTTTTATAATAAGTAAGAGTTTTGTTCAATTTGATTGTTTTCTTCATAGTTTTTTCGTCAAATTTTATTATAGTTGCTTTTAAAAGAGTTGCTTATAAAAAATGTTCCATGTTTCTTTTGTTAAAGTGTTTTCTTGCTAAATTGTTTTCAGCAACGTTGGCGGTAGTATTATAAAGAGAAAGCAATTATCAGACACATATTTCTCACCCACGATTCCGAAGAAGCCGGTACGTAGATTTCGCACACACTCTTCTAAAGAAACAGGAACATAGATTTCTCACCTATGCATACGAAAAGACCGGTACGTAGATTTCTCAGCCACGCCCTCAGAGAAACTGGTATGTAGATTTCTCATCCATATTTCTGAAGAAACTGATGCTTAGATTTCTCACCCACGCCTCTGAAGAGATCGGTACTTGGATTTATCGCCCACGCTTCCGAAGAAACCGCTACGTAGGTTTCTCATTCACACCGGTATGTCGATTTTTTACACAGTCCGTAGACTTCAAGCCCTCGCATTCGAGTAGACGGGTAAGTAGATTTTTCATCCACTTCTTTGAAGAGAACGATACGTAAATTTCTCACCCACACCTTAAAAGAGACCGGTACATAGATTTCCAACAGACGCATTCGAAGAGACCGGTACATAGATTTCTCACCCAGACCTTCGAAAAGACCGGTACGTAGATTCATCACCAACGAATCCGAAGAGACCAGTACGTAGATTTCCTACCCGTGCTTCTGAAGAGACGTGTACGTAGATTTCTCACCAACACATCCAAATCAAATCAACTAGTACGTAGATTTCGTAGCCACGCCTCTGGAGAGACCGATACGTAACAAATATAAAAGACGACCAGAGCTATACCAATGACGAGCATTAGATAAAGGTTGGATGG